AAAGTTGAGATTCGTGCGGGGGAAATGATAAACGAAAGGGCCTAATTTTTCAACAGGTCAGGGTACATATTTCCGAACACAACGTACAGTAATTAAGAAAGTAATCAAGGCGGGGTATATTCTGCGCCTTTCCCGACGCACCGGGGTTTGGGCGCTGACCAATGATATATGAGTGCATTTACAACTGTTATCCCAATATACGTGTGTCGCTATTCGACCAGGATATACGCTGTCGTGTCGTTTTCTCATATATCAGAGTAGAAGCGACCCAGCTGTTTCCTCCACATGGTCCATGAGAGAAAACGCTCCGTGCATTCCCCTAATTTTGACCTACCTGAGATTGTGCAGGTCAGCTTTGATGCCGGTTACCCAATTTTCCACGGGGGGAAAGATATAATAATGGTATAAATTTGTGGGTCAGATTAAAAGCAATTTAGAAGATGAGGGCTGCCCCATTCAAGCACAAACGTATCGACGGAACCACGGTTCACCTAGCGTCACAACGTTTCGACCTAGCAAATGAGAAAAAATCTTCAGCACAAATACGACTGCCGCCGTGTCGCATACACAGAAGGTAGTCAGCACAACGTTGATAACTCATCATCCGCCCTCTGTAACATCTTTTGGTTGGGGTTTTGTGTCGAACGACAGCACAGGAGACCCTTACCCAAACCCTAACCATCCTCCTTTTCGACCCGAGCATCGAAGGCAAATCATAAGACTGCACAACTGCAGTCTTTGTATCACCGACATGCTGCGACATTTCGTGCGAAGCCCTACAATAAAATATTTACCTTTGACCAACATCAACACCCTCCTCGATAACTGCCCTATGAAATGTCCACAAGTTCCGGAATGGTTGGGCAACCTTACTGCTTTTCGCTACCCTAGGATTGTACGCCGGGGGGGGATTGAGACTTTTCCATCCAGAGAATGGTTGGGGTGTCCCAACGTGCTTCCCCAACCTTGAAACTTAACTGCGTATGCCTGTTTCGAACATTACATGAGTGAGGTCAAGTCGTGCATCAAAGGGACGTCGCGATGGATGAACGACGTTCTGTTACAGCAAGCAAGGCGCCTCTCCCGTCACAGAACAGAGGCGGCCAGAGGCCCTCACTCCGCCACCGCAGCAGGCGTCTGCGCCACCGTCCCTGCCAGTGCATCCGGAACCTCCGCAAGACCCGCAGCTGGCGGAGCAGCACACATTGCTCGCTTGGATGCCGACGATTCCACCGTCGCACATAGGAACTGTTAGATTCGAGGAAAGACGTTGTCAAAATCACAGCCGTGTAAATTCCTCTGAAAGAATGACTTCAAGTTGGGACCACGGCAGACGTCATTATTGGGTCAATGCGGTTTTACCTGGGATCTTAGGTCAAGGGTGAACTTATTTTTGCCAACACCACCTTTGATTGATTGGAAAGCCTGTTAAGCAAATGACTCCACGGTTCCCCACATGCCCGCGCCAAACGCGGGTATTTGCCGATCGATCTTGTCTGTCCTGCACATATGCACTTACAAAACTTCCGGGCAGGCGCGACACATACCTTGCCGTTGTGAAGACACGGTCCTTGAAGACAGTGTCGTCTACGATTACATTGAATCTCAAGAAAGGTGGCCTGTACCAGTAAGTCCGATTCGATGAGCCACAACTATTGAATCATGTCCAGTACAAACTGTCACATTCTTCGGTTTCGGCGCACGGCTGCAATGGTCGCGGCTTACCTTCAACAGTAGGAGGCGGCGTAGGGGCCGGCGTAGGTTCCGGAGTAGGGGCAGGGCCTGTTTCACGAATGATAAAAGCGCCCGTAGATACCAGTTGCGTTGTTGGCACGGTTACACCAGAATAACATGTTTTAGCGCGAACGTCGACCCGCACGAGATAATATTAGGCTTCCGAGAGCGCTGCCTGTTCCGATGAGTGTCTTGTTTGCGTTTTCACGTGGCCGATGAAAGACAAGAGTCGGACTTTCGCGACCATGCATGGTTCAATAAGCATTACAAGAAGAAGAAACTCATGTGGGTTTGCCAATTCCGGCATCCAAGCTTCCTTCCCTGCAGCGTATGGGCCCTCACCGGTCATGCAAGGCGCCTCTCCCGTTACAGAACAGAAGCGGCCCGAGGCCCTCACTCCGCCACCGCAGCAGGCGTCTGAGCCACCGTCCCTGCCGGAGCACCCAGAACCTCCGCAAGACCCGCAGCTGGCGGAGCAGCACACATCGCTCGCTTGGATGCCGACGATTCCACCGTCGCACATCGGAACTGTTCGAATGGAGGAAAGGCGTTGTCAAAATCACAGCCGTGTAAAATCCTCTGAAAGAATGACTTCAAGTTGGAACCACGGCAGACGTCATCACTGGGTCAATCCGGCTCTACCTGAGATCTTGAGAGTCAAGGGTGAACTTGAATCAGAAAGGCTCCTTTTTGCCAACACCACCTTCGATTGATTGGAAAGCCGGTGAGGAAAATGACTCCACGGTTCCCCACGTGCCCGCGCCACACGCGGGTATTGGCCAATCGATCTTGTCTGTCCTGCACATATGCACTTACAAAACTTCCGGGCAGGCGCGACACATACCTTGCCGTTGTGAAAGCAGGGTTGTGTCCGCCTACCATTAAAATTAAACTCAGGACAAATGATATGGACCATTAAGCCTGTCCGATTTCGATGAGCCGCAACTATTGAATCACGTGCGGTTCAAACTTCCGCATGCCAACATCTCAAATGTTTGACAAATCCTTCGGTTTCGGCTCACTGCTGCAATGATGACCCAAGCTTACCTTCAACAGTAGGAGGCGGCGTAGGGGCCGGCGTAGGTTCCGGAGTAGGGGCAGGGCCTGTTTCACGAATGATAAAAGCGCCCGTAGATACCAGTTGCGTTGTTGGCACGGTTACACCAGAATAACATGTTTTAGCGCGAACGTCGACCCGCACGAGATAATATTAGGCTTCCGAGAGCGCTGCCTGTTCCGATGAGTGTCTTGTTTGCGTTTTCACGTGGCCGATGAAAGACAAGAGTCGGACTTTCGCGACCATGCATGGTTCAATAAGCATTACAAGATGAAGAAACTCATGTGGGTTTGCCAATTCCGGCATCCAAGCTTCCTTCCCTGCAGCGTATGGGCCCTCACCGGTCATGCAAGGCGCCTCTCCCGTTACAGAACAGAAGCGGCCCGAGGCCCTCACTCCGCCACCGCAGCAGGCGTCTGAGCCACCGTCCCTGCCGGAGCACCCAGAACCTCCGCAAGACCCGCAGCTGGCGGAGCAGCACACATCGCTCGCTTGGATGCCGACGATTCCACCGTCGCACATCGGAACTGTTCGAATGGAGGAAAGGCGTTGTCAAAATCACAGCCGTGTAAAATCCTCTGAAAGGATGACATCAAGTTGGAACCACGGCAGACGTCATCACTGGGTCAATCCGGCTCTACCTGGGATCTTGAGAGTCAAGGGTGAACTTGAATCAGAAAGGCTCCTTTTTGCCAACACCACCTTCGATTGATTGGAAAGCCAGTGAGGCAAATGACTCCACGGTTCCCCACGTGCCCGCGCCACACGCGGGTATTGGCCAATCGATCTTGTCTGTCCTGCACATATGCACTTACAAAACTTCCGGGCAGGCGCGACACATACCTTGCCGTTGTGAAAGCAGGGTTGTGTCCGCCTACCATTAAAATTAAACTCAGGACAAGTGACCTGGACCAGTAAGCCTGACCGATTTCGATGAGCCACAACTATTGAATCATGTACGGTACAAACTTCCGCATGCCAACATCTCAAATGTTTGACAAATCCTTCGGTTTCGGCTCACTGCTGCAATGACCACAGCTTACCTTCAACAGTAGGAGGCGGCGTAGGGGCCGGCGTAGGTTCCGGAGTAGGTGCCGGGCCTGTTTCACGAATCGTACAAGCGCCCGTAGATCCCAGTTGCATTGTTGGCGCAGTGTTTCAACGACAAAAGTTCAGCGCGCTTTCGGACAGGGCGCGGTGATGAAAAGCTTCCGATTGCGCTGTGTTTCCGATAATGTCTACCACTCTTATTTGTGTGATCAAGTGGCCGATGAAAGAGAAGAGTCAGAGTTCGCGATCATGCATGGTTCAGGAAGCGTCACAAGGGAAAACTCATGTCGTTTTGCCAATTCCGGTGTTCAAGCTTCCCTCTCTCCAGCCCATGAGCTCTCACCGGTCATGCAAGGCGCCTCTCCTGTTACAGAACAGAAGCGGCCCGAGGCCCTCACTCCGCCACCGCAGCAGGCGTCTGCGCCACCGTCCCTGCCGGAGCACCCGGAACCTCCGCAAGACCCGCAGCTGGCTGAGCAGCACACATCGCTCGCTTGGATGCCGACGATTCCACCGTCGCACATACCCTCTGTTCGATTCGAGGAAAGACGTTGTCAAAATCATAGCCGTGTGAATTCCTCTGAAAGGATGACATCAAGTTGGAACCACCGCAGCCGTCAAAAATGAGTCGATCCAGCTCTACCTGCGATGTTGAGAGTCAAGGGTGCACTTACATCATTTCCGATCAATACGTGAATACGGAAAATTTTGAAACAAGTACCCGAATACGGTTAGATGAGCAACCATGACCCGGAGAAAGAAAAAACACTGCCATTTTCAAGAAAGCCATCATAGGGGAAGTTTGTCCTTAGTTATTCTTACAATATGCAGGGTGATGGGCGTGGCCAGGTAGCAAAAAACGGGTACATGTTGTAAGAAATTCTTGATCTTCAAGAGGCAAGGGGATGTGAGTTCACGCACATGAATGATGTTAGAACCATATGTAATGGCTTCGATACAGAGTAATCGAGGATCATGGAAGATGATACCGGTCGCACCTGCAGCATGAGACAAGTTCACGTCCATGTGCCGTGGATTGAAACAGCTGTGAATTAGAAACAAGTCATATACAGTACACATGTCAGGTCTACGAACCATGCAATACCCCACACTAGGACATGTGGGTACAAGTGCCAGGCAAAACCCATACCTCCACGTGTAGGGGCCGGTGTGGCAGGCGCCGTGGTAGGGGCCGGCGTGGTAGGGGCCGGCGTGGTAGGGGCCATGGT